AATATTTAATCAATTAATATACTAGATCAATACTAGTTATCTTCTCATAAAGTGAAGTTATGTAATGTCATGTAGGTCAAACTCATATATAATCATGTATTACCTCGAAAGTAAATAACAAAATATAATAGTCATCAAATCAAGTCTATGATCACAAAAATATGAAGGAACTTTAAACTAATATCTCAAAACATATAGAAAATATGTTCAACATCACATAAAGTAATGTAACCAAAGCTCATCATATATAATTATATTGGTGTTAAGGGGAGTTTCATCTCATTTATGAAAATTAATAACAATAATAAGGTGTATTAATAATTAAATATTCTCATCATGAAGAGAATCTCAAATATTAATTGCCTATATCATTTCTCATATGATGTCTCGGAATTACTCTTCTCATTCTCTCATCTCACCTCATCTTTTCTCTTAAGTGATAGTACTTTTCAAGATCATATTATACCACTAGTTATATATGTCAAAGCTATAATCAACCTCCAATATTATATCTATATTTTATTTTATTTTTTTAAACACAAATCACAAAGCATACTACTAGTTTTGTTTTTTTTTTTGTGAATGATAGTAGTACTATTTTATCTAATAAAATTGTCTAAAAGATCAACTATTACTTTAGCTATTTGACATTTCTAACTCATAATACCATCACATAATATTCAACCCACATGCAAGGCTTTTCATTGCACTTTCACGCAAACCAATTAAGAAGAAACAATACATAACATCTAAGAACTGATCAATATACCCATTAAATCCATTGGCATCAACACTCATCGGAGAACCCCTAAGGTCATCCACCTTGGATCTGTCTTCCTCGGCCTACTCCTCACATGGCTTCGGCCACTCTTGGTTTGCCACGAACTCCTCCTCCATCAATAGTAAGTCCTTAAGATTGTTGTATAAAAGTGGCGGATGCAGCTATGAGCAACTTGAAACACCGAACAAACGTTAGTAAAATTCCCCTGAGGCGTGTGATGACACTGACCTTAAGGACTTATCCGCGGGATACGCGCAAGTCCCCCAGGATACAATAGGGTCGTCTCAAGGAATTGAGGAGCAGAACTGGCAATTGGAAAATATGAGAACTTAGAGAGAAGGAAGAGAGAAAGGTTTATTTCAGATGCTAAAACAGTGTGCTGGAGGCCTCTATTTATAGAGTCTCAGAAACCCTAAAAAAATCATGTAAAGCATCCAGCAATTAAAGAAAATTAATCTGAATAATTAAGGAAAATAAATCCAAATAATTAAAGAAAATTAATCCGGTAATTAAAGAAAATTAATTCGGATTTGTAACAGTAAGATTTTAATGACAGAATCAAATTTGAATTTGAAATGTGAAAAACTGTAATTTTCGTAAAAGGTTTCCTTAATTAAATAAAAATAATTTAATGTAATTTTCTTTTGAAATATCATATATGTGCAATATTTTAGTATATTTTGAAATGAATATATTACGTCAATTTTGTTTTATAAGAATGAAGTATCAAATCATCTTTGATTAATATAAAATTTTGTATATATGATCTAAGAGATATGAACTTTCAATCTAACGGTTAGATTTTTAAAATTCACATTTAATATAAAGCTATTGAACGGTGTAATACTTAGTTAAAGTTACACCGATATTATTATAACACTCCTCTCTCTCTATATATATATATTCCTTTTGATTATGATAATGGATTAGGGTAAATAACTTAGTGATTTAATTTTATTATTATGAAGAGAGTTGAATCATACTAAAACATTTTGTAAATCAATGGTAAATGATGTTTCACCTTTTCTGTTTACGCAGATTTTAGATGAATCAAACACATAATCTAAGTACAACTTCATATACTCACTTATTTTACTTATTCATATATCAATATTATGATTTTAACCATTTTTTTAAACAGTTGATTTTAACCATTTAGTTTGTTCAATTATAGTTAACTACTATATAAAATATGAGAAAAAAAAACTATGAACTCACTGTGTAAAACAATTTTACACTATTAGCTATTTACAAATCATCATATAAATGATAAATTTATAAACTAAACATTGATAATATAAAACTTTTATAATATTAATTTAAGATAGGTTGGTAGTGTAAAATATTTTACACGGTGTAAAACTTTTTATATTATCAGTAGATGTCCATTAAATTCACCATAGATGTTCATAATATTATTAAATCTATACTATAACACATAACTTATGATTTGGTCGATTGTTATTTTATCTTTTATAGAAAATATGCATGGTATCACTACTACAAAAAGAGTAATCTAAGTCGCTCAATCTAAGTCGGTTTATTAAAAAATGATGTAAAATAAGATGCGGTGGCATTTTTGTAAATAAAATGAACGTAATCTATGACAGTTTAGAAAATAACCGTAGTAGAATAGCCTACACAAATATATCTACAACGGTTTATAATAAAACCGACTTAGATATTAAGTGATCTACTACCGTTTTTGTGTAAAACCGACTTAGATGGAGACCTAAAACTAACGCGAGCACGTCCTTTCTCAATTCATGCGCGCCCATGAGTCTCCCAGTTCTCAGTTCTCACTCAGTTCTATCTCACTTCTATCTCACTTCTCTCAACCTTGACGGTGGCTGAAGCTATTTCAAACGGGACGGGGAGGCCAATCTCGGAGACGATGCGGCCTTCGACCTTGACAGAGGCAAAGGCCACACGCTAAACCACCGCTCACATTGCTCTCACACTTGTTCTTCCGCCTCCCACACGTGCCGGAACCCTACATCTACTCGGCCACACCAATTGCAATTGCATCGTTATTTCTCTTTACCTTTTTCGTTTATTCCTTTTGTTAGTTTTTCTCGGCAGTTTAATTTTTTTCTCATTGTAAATGCTGGTTCCTGTATTTCATTTCAGGTCGAAGGTCTTCGTTGTGCTTGAAGTTGGCCTTAGTGACGATTCACGTGGTTTATGCTGGCGTGCTCTTCTTGCTCGATGGGGATTTGAGGGAAAAGACTAAGAAGGAACCGTGGTGAGTGTTTGCTCCTATCGTTTTGTCTTCTTAACGTTTTTTTGGCTTTAATAGAAGTTGTATTTTCTGCATTGTGTTATTATGTGTATTATTATGCATGAATGAATAAGTTAGTGCTTCCTAGCAGATTTGGATGATTACTATAGTTTTTCCGATTTTCTAATTTTCTGCTTGCTTTTTCTGTCAGGTACACTATTTTGTACTTGTTGCTGTTCGTTGTTACTTTAATACAATACTTTGTTACCTCTCTTTCTTCTCCAGGGTAATAAAACTTTTTTGTTTACTTATGATGAAATCAATAATGAGTGTGATGAGGAGCTGCGATTTTTGTTATTTGTTATTATTTTTTGGCAGAAATTATATATCTTTGAGATATGATATCCTTCTACATCTTGTATCTTTAAAAAAAAAAATTTGGGTATTGGTTTTGTCATTTGTGATCTAAAATTCTGAATTCAACCTGCCTTGTAACAGAGAAAAGACAGCTTAATGTCAATGTTTTTGCTTTTTAAAAACGAGTTCAAGATTTCAGTAAAATACTAGAATCGATTTTTTATCTTGGATTGAATTCTTGTATTAGAATCATGAGAAAACAATATTTCCATGGATAATGAAAAGATGGATTGAATTGCATTTTGTAAACTGCTTTTTCCCTGTGTTATATACTTGACCTTTAGCACATTAAGAGTTCCTTCTTAGCACAATGAAAACTAGAGACCTCTCTCTTGAGTTCTCTAATAATTTAATTTCTTAACTTTGATGATCAATTTTTTTGTTGGTGGCCATTATGCAGCCTCCACGAGCAAAGCATTGTCATGACTGTGACAAGGGTGATCTTCAGTTTGATCATCATTATGTTTGGCTTGGTAACTGCATTGGCCAGGGTAATCACTGTCGATTTTGGTGAGTTATATCTGCATATATAATGTACACATATTTTTTAATTTAAGTAAAATTTAGAAAATTTATAATTATAATAAAGATGATCAACCTTTTTTTGTGTATATATTTCTTGAATTATTTTACCTTTTTATAACCACTTCTAATTTATCTGCATAGATTATATATTTCAAACACTTTTAATTGCAACGTGCACTTGGTCTTCTTTTTTTCAATATTTATTATGAGAGAAATTGTGGATGAACTCAGAAACATATTTAGAAACTTAATTATGTTATCCTTACATTATTTAGTTACTTTAACTGCATATTTACTTTTATTTTCCCATTGAGTTATGTCCTTCTAAGTACTGTGTGGATTGAATAATTATAGATATTTTAAAGCAAATTATTGGTAGTTTTAAGCTGTTTCTCTCTCTATATATAGAGTGATTTTATTCAATTTGAATCTGGACCATCTATGTATGGTTGTATGACCAAAATAATTTGTTCTCACGAGAACAATTTTCAATTGATATGCTCTCTGTGTTAGTGTAACCCTTGTAATTTATTATGCTTGAACACTTGGGAAATTTATGAATGGGATTATTTTTAGAGCTCATCTAAAGAAATGCTATATATCCTTGTGAAGACTTTGACTATATGTTCTCCTTGTAATCAATAACATGCCAGCATTGTACGAGGAAGTTGCTTATTTTATTAATTTTGTATATATCTTAGTAAAAATATCTCTTACGATGATTTTTTCTTCCTACCTATCAAAACTATTGATTACTCTTTCAATGTGTCTTGTCTTTCTGCTCTTCCTACTGCTACTTCATAGGTAATTCTTGTAATTATATATCCCAATTTTTGTATCTAGCATAAGATTGCTTTTTTGTTTAGGTATTTCATTCTGTTCCTTTCTGTATTTTTTTTTTGTTTGGAGGAATCGTTTTTGGGGGGTATGTTTTCAACTTTACCACTTATTTAATTATGTACACCCTGGCCCTTTTTCTCCATCACGTTGAATGTATAGTTCAGCATTCTGGTTCAATACAAATAGAATATCATAGCTGTTTTTGTCTTTTCTGTCAAATAGAATATCACAACTGTTTTGTCTTTTCTGCAGTTATCTTATTTTGACAAATCAGACTACCTATGAACTTGTAAGGAGAAGACGGATTCCTTACCTAAGGTTAGATAAGTTAGTCTCTTGATGTTTTTGTATTTTTTTTCTTCACATTTTTACCTTAAATCATTAAATAAAACATTTTGGTGGAACGTGATTATTTTTATTAGCATTGCATGGCTTTTAATTTATCAGCAAGATGTTGATGTTAAACGGTTAGATGTCTGAATTACTTTTGTTTTTTGCTTGCAAACTGTTTCTGGGATATCTATGATGAGCACATTTGATTAACATGCAGGTCAATTCCGGAAAGAGTGCATCCATTCAGCAAAGTAATTTGTGGAAATTTATACAACTTCTGCTGTGCCAGGAGCAGCATATACAGTTTAGAACCACTTCCTATCCCTCAAGAGATAGAGGAAAAGTCAAGACCATATACATGCTTGGATGTCATTAATTGTCGATGTTGCTGATAGTTTTTGTGTAAGTGAAAGTCTGTTCGTCCAACAGTTTAATTGTGAAAACTAAGGAATTTGTCAATGCACCTTTGCTTAGATGGGTAGGTTTTATCTTTAGGCGATTTGGTTTGTGATTTATCTTCTGTTATTCATTCTAAGAAATAGATCATGTTGAATTTTTTAGTATGACGTGTAAACTTTAGAAATAGGTGAATGTGGCTTTAACATTAGACAATTAAGTACATGTCTAATGTAGTATGACCTAATTTTTTTTGAGTTTCTCTTTTTCTTGTAAGAAAAAATTCTTCTTTATGGATCCCAGATTGGCCTTTATTGGTTTTTGAGTATATGGCTTCTTTAGTATTATTTATTATATAATGATAATAATGTACCTGAGTCATTCCTATAATGATAAGCATCCCAGATTGACCTCTCTTGGTTCATGTTAGATTTTGATGTGGCTTCTCTTAAATTGGATAATTGGATAAGTTTTATTGAATCAGTTTTTATAGGTTATTAGTTGAGTCAGTCTTATTTTAAAAATTAACCTGGTTAAAAAAAATATAATTTAGATGTATGTGTTTATCTAAGTCGGTTCTTAACAAAAACTGACTTAGATGTATGTGTACATCTAAGTCGGTTCTTAACAAAAACTGACTTAGATGTATGTGTACATCTAAGTCGGTTCTCACTAAAAACTGACTTAGATGTACACATACATCTAAGTCGGTTTTATGAAAACTGACTTAGATCAACACATACATCTAAGTCAGTTTTTACTTAACCGATGTAAATATGTTCATTCATCTAAGTCGCCCTCATCTAAGTCGGTTTTAGAACCGATGTAGATATGACAAAATAACCGACTTAGAATACAATTTTTCTAGTAGTGTATGCATTATAAATCGATTCAAATAAAGATGTTCATATAAGAATTGAGCATATTGAAAGGGAATAAAATGAAATGAAGTAATTAAACAAAAAGGTAAAATAAAATTAAAAAAACATTTTAAGAAAAATATTAATTGCTATTATTTCCTCATCATGAAATTTATTTTTTGGTTACTAAGGAAGTCTACCAAATGCTAGACTAAAGAAGATACGTTAAAGTAAAGATAAAAGGCCATAATGAGTTAGGAAATAAGCAATCCTTTGAGATGTAACATATGAGCAAAAAACATTGAGTATCTATAACATTGTATTTATTTATTTATTTATTTGCAAATTGCAATACATGTATGGTATGTTGTCAAAAAAAAAAAATCCTTTAGGCTACGTCCCCTTAACTAACTAATAGTGGTAGAGATTAGGCTAATGCATATGGTCTTAATTGTAATTTTAGTTTAAGAAAAAAATTTATTATTTTAGTAAATTGATAAAATGCAAGAATTCCTATTAAATTAATGTTTAATCATATTTGAACAATTGTTGAGTTTAATGATGATATATTGTATCATCTAATTATAATTTATATTTATGATAAATTAATTAATTTATATTTGCAATAATTAAATAACTACATGAATTTTAGAAAAATAAAATATACGTTCCTTGATTTTATTACTAATTTCTATAATCAACTTCTATCTTATAAGTCAATGTTATGGTTTATTGTGAGACCTACGACTCCTTCTTCTCCTCATTTTCCTTGCATTCTATTATTTTCTTTCTCATTCACATTCACTCTTTCTTTTGAAACTCAAGTGTTGTACTCTTTCTCTTCCATTGATTTTCTTGAAGGTTGCTGAAGATAGAAGAGTAAGGAAGCTCGAAGTCGTAGCCTTGTCTTCACTCTTCCTCTTCTTCTTCTTCTTCTTCTCCGTAGACCAAAGCTCGTATTCTCTTTCCCATTTGAGGTAAGAGAAGCTAGAATCTTGGGCTATTGTTTGAATTGAAACATAATATTAGTTAGATTCTTAGAAAATTTGAGTTTTTAGGGGTGGATTTAAGGTTGGTTGCATGTTGAAAGTTGAAACCTTGTGGTTGTTCTTGATGATCTCTCGAAATCTTGGTGCATGCATGTGGTGTTTCTTGGGGTTTCTGAGTTGTATAAACAAAATGAGTGAAGATTTTCAAGGTAGATCATGTTTAGGGGTAAAGATTGATGGATTTTGAGTGAAAATCGAAGGTGAAACTATGGATTTTCAGAAAATTCTAAGACTCACAGCCATGGCCGTGGAAAAAAAATGAAGTGGCAGAACAGCCATGGCCGTGGAAAGGAAACTGAGCTGGCAGAAATCCAACGTTAAAGCGCTGATTTGAGCGCTACAGCGGTGAGGATAGATGACCGAATTTGGTCTTGAGGTATTCACAAAAGTTGTAGCCTTAGATGTTAGATTTCCAATGACACTGGAATCACCCAAAACGAAGGTCTAAAACTCCTGTTATGACCTTTTTAGTGAGAAAAGGTCAAGCTGCCAGGATTTAGGCTAGTTGTTGCGGTTTTTACATTTTTTAACAAGGTATATGATAGAATTAAGACTCAATGTCTTCATGATAGTTGTAGGAAATCTTATCTTTCATTTGAGCTAAGGATGATAACTATAAGAGTAGTATAACTTCATTTATGTTGTTTTATGTGAAGGTTGCCAATTCACAATTCTATCAAAATGAAGATGACTGCTTTGGTATAAATCTAGCAGAAATCTGACAATCTTCAATTTGTTTAAAGTATTAATCATGATATATTTATTTAATGGTGGACATATTCACATTACATATTGTGAATACCCTGCACCGCATATCATCGTGGCTATTTACCGATATCATTTTAACCCGACATTGTATGTAGATATCTACCCGGTCTAAAGTGATCAACAGTTCTAGTCAAGATACCGGCACTATAGCAAATCATGGTCTGAATGAACAGTTCCAGTCAAGATACTGGCACTGTAGTGAATAGTTCAAGTCAAATAACTTGTACTGTTGACTTATGTGCTATATATATAAATATTTTCTTTTCTCACCGTTTGATTTATGGATGTTTTAGGTGAGGAAGATCCGGCTTTGAGTGGCATCTAGGATGCCAACAGTTGAATTGTGAGTGTGCTCTAATATTGTGACATCGGGGCAGAAAATTCTAGGATATAGATTTTTATATGTATTTTGAGTTATACCTTGTCTTTTGAAAATAATTTGTAAACTCTTAAATTTTACCTTCCAAGTTTTATTTCTAGTTATTTTGTATATTGAAGAAAGAACAATTATGAAGTTTTATGTGAACCCTTTTACCAACATTGAAAATTTTATTCTTTAGTTTATTTACATGATTAATATTTATATATGTGTTGGGGTAGTAAGGGTATCACAAGTTGTCCTTTAGAGTGGATGTTGTGGTTTTCTCCTCTAGGACTTAGTTGGTCTCGTGTGTGGGCAAGGTGATGGAGGACCATCCTTAGAGCTTCATGTGGGACCCATCACTAGGTCCATGGCTAGGAGATTAGAAGAGGATAAGGGAGCTAACACCTCTAGAGACATGCTTCCCTTGGCTAAGGAATGTCAATCTTTCTCCTAAACCTTGTTAGCATGGAATCTATTTTTATGCCTATTTTTCCCTTGTCTTTAATTTTCCATTTTTACGCTTGTATTTTGGGTATCTTAGACATAGGATTTATTTTACTTGTATTTACCATTTTAGCCTTGTATTTTGGGGTGCCTTAGTCATAGAATTTATTTTTACTTGTATTTCCCATTTTACCCTTGTATTATGGGGTGCCTTAGATTATAAGATTTTATTTTATAGCTAGGGTATTTTATTAGGGTTAGAAAAAAAGGCCTAGACGTATTTTTTGGTAGCATTGGATTTGTTTTTGCAATTGGCAAGGCTTAGGCCCAAGTGGGGGGCAACTAGGATGCATGGTCTTATCATGCACCTAGATGTAGCTTAACCAAATCCAAAGATTCCATCCTTGGTCACCAAGTAGCATCTAGGGTTAATTTAGGTTTCATTTGAAGTGCATTTGGCTTGCATTTTTCGGCCAAGCATTCTCAAATGCAACCCTAAATGTTTCCTTCTCTTATAAATACCTAGACCTTGCACCTTGTAAATACTTTGGAATATATGAATTTGAGTGAGCATTTTTGCCTCAAATCTTCTCCTTAGTCACCTAGGTCATCACGGCCTAGACATCCCTTCTCCTCCCTTGAGTGATTTTAGGGTTTATTGAGTGGCCTTCATCTCCACTTGGTGAAGTGAGCCAACCTAGAACCACCTAGACACCTTCCTCCTCCATTTTCTCATATTCACCCATCCTAAACACCATACGCCTATTCTCATTTTCCTCCACCCTTGAAGGAATGTACAGCCCCTAAAGCCATCATCTTGGTCGTGGCAAGGAATATCTCTCCCACCTTGGACGTCTTGGTCTCTCCCATGGTGGAAGGAGCCCATCACAAGGTCGGGGAACACATGTATGAAGCGACCATTATATAGGGACCAGGTCGAGCTATACCGATTACAAGTGATCATTTCGAGTAAAGTACAAAGTCGAGAACTTAGTTCCTAACCGAGTATCGGAGGGTTGTAGTATTTAGAGGATAGTCAGTAGGTTAATCCCATAGGTGGCTTAATTGAGCTAGTTGATGTCGTGGTAGGCCTAAAACCAGTTGTCCTATCCTGACATAATACTATACTTCCTTGTTTAAGTGGCAAAGTTTGAGAAACCGTTATCATGTTGTGGATTTTTATCCAAAATTGTTGTTTACCTAGCAAGTCCAAAAAGGTTCTGTGTTGTCGGTTTGGTAGGACCTAGCCACTTAAACTGCTCACCATGTGTTGTAGGAGATCTTCGAGTTGAAATGCGTGATAACGCATATAGGCTGATGTGTTGATACAATATTGATATGTGTTGAAATGTTGAAGTGTTGTTAAGATGTGTAACATATGTGTTGGTTGTTACCTACGTACCATGTGGAATATGAATTATGTGTTGATGTGTTGCATACTTAATTATATGAGTTGTTTATTTTACCTAGCTTACCCTTGCATGTTTCCATATGGTTTGAATTGCGATGATCATACGTTGTATGGGAATAGAGCAAGGATAGGTTGGAGAGTAGCACTGGAGCCACAAATGGTGCTTGGAGTTGGATTTTATTTTGTAAACTACCGGTTGTGGGTAGATACTTTTGTATAAATATTCGTATATAGTTG